AAACAGAGGTGTGTGATGAGTGATGTGCCGGTGCCATGAGACAGGAAAGGCAACCAGAGGGGGGACAGAGGAACCAGAAGGCAAAGTCTGGTTGAATAAAATACTAATTTGCCATATATGATTTAATTACTGAGATTCCCTGAGCTTTATGTTTCAAGTTCAGGCAAATTTCGGGCATTGCAATTAGCAAAAAAGAAGCTGAATCCATAGCCTCTCAGTCATTTTTTAAAAGCCATATATTCACTCAATTGTTTCTTATATTTTCTTATGCAATGTCTGACAACTCGGTGCTTATAAAGAACACATTTGCATTCTGCTGTGAGTGTACTTAAGGTTATAGTGATTTATTTTTTTTCTCCACGTCATAGTTTATTTGTTCATAGCGCTCTGAAAATTCTCATTTCTGCCTGAGATTATTTCTCCTCAACCGAAAGTTAAAGAAGAAAAGTTAAGTTAAAAGATCAGAGCTTTTTATAAGCTTCAATGACGCCAAATATTTCTCACAAATCTGTAGTGTGTATTAGAATTGCATTGCAAACAGAGTTTTTTAAAAAAGTAGTTACCGAATACTTGTAGACTGCATGTGTATTGGAAGTTGTTTGTTTGGTTTTTTTACGGTGACTGTTGTCCTCCTCTTTGATCAGTATTTGGTATTTGTAGAACAGCAAGTAAATAGTCCGGATTCAATCACGATTGTAGCAAAAAGAAAAATTCTCTTTGGAGCAGTCAGATGTTTGTGTTAACGACTGTTGGTGGTGGATTGTTCGTAGAGCAGGTTGGATGGCTCAAAGTGGGACATTAGAAAAAGCTCATTAAGTCCACAGGCAGTGAGTTTGTCCCATACTATAAAATACCAGCAAAGTATTCCAATAGCACGCTAATAACCTAGGGAGTAGATTGCCCAGCCTTAGTGGCCACACGCCAACAAAAGTGATCCTTAATTTGGACTGAGCTGACCTGTGGGTGGCATGGGGAGATGCCAGTGGAGACTTTGCAAATTCACGGGTTGGCATTAGTGGTTCCCTGATTGCAAGTCTCTCGTGTTCATGTGGCTGCTCTTAGCTGCTCAAGGCGTATCTTTGCTCATCGACCTTTCCTTTCCTTATTGGTAGAGTGCTCGCTTTTGAGCCTGATCCACATACGTGTGTAAATCTCCTAAAAAAAACAAAAAAAACCCCAAAAAAAACCAAAACCAAAAACCCCAAACCTCAGGGGCGTGTGCATAGGAAGAGATGACGTGATACGTACCATATGGCGCGAAGGACTCTGGTTCCGTGTTTTTATCTTCCTTCCTGTAAAGAAAGTATCTTCAAATGACAGTTTGTTGGCAGTTTGTCTTCACCAGTCAACAAACTAGTGAAGACCAATGTGCCAGCTTCTGTGCTACTGAAAAGCGTCACGAATTCATCTAAAAAACTACATGTAAGGAAACAAATTGTTTCATGAGATTACTGAATCGATTGGAAAAGCCCACAGATCAAAACCGATCGTTTCCTAGTGTGGTAGCACTACAGAAAGCTGCTGCTGTTGACTACCGAGACAATTTTGTCAAAACGGATTTGAATTCGTAATGTGCTAAAGTAAATTGCTGAGACAGTAGTACTGACAAAAATGCTTTTTAAAGACCTTGAACGAACGAGGAAAAGGAGAAAGTACTGATGACCTACTGAAAAATTAGAGCTGACAAACAAAACCAGAAAAGAAAATGCGGATATGAGTGCTCCTGACTTCTAAGCTTTAAAACGCAGGGCTGAATCTTTTAAGTATTTCATGGAAGCGCTCACGTGGTATCTGTATGTGGATTTGTGTACGAAGCAGCTGAATTGCTGCTTCGTGTCTTGTATTTGTGTGTTCAAGTTTGATTGAAGTGAGAACATCGTGCAAGTCTGTGGGAAACTATTTTGAAAGCGGAGAGGCCAGACTATGGAGAGATGGGTGCAATTATATTCATCTCGTATCAGATCAGTACATGTTACAGTGAGAAAATTCATGAAAAGCTAAAGATCACGTAGGCGAGGATTTTCAAAGGCAGTTAAATAAAACAACAAGATCTCATTGTTTCGCTGGGTTTTTAGCGGTTTTGTTCCTTTTCTAGTCACGGTGAAGCACTGTTATTTGAGAGGGAGAACATAGACAGTGAGAGACGCTTCTGCAATAAAAGTGCCTGTAGAGGGAGTTCGGCACAAAGAGTTAATTCATAATAACTCTTCATGGAGACAAGAAGTTCATAATTCCGCACTGTGATCGATATTAGTAACAAATCACATGACGAGCGGTTGAAGGAGCTGGGACTGTTTAGTTTGAGGAGGAGGAGGCTGAGGGGAGACCTCATCACTCTCTACAACTATTTGAAAGGACACTGTAGAGAGGTTGGTGCTGGTCTCTTCTCACAGGTAATTAATGACAGAACCAGAGGGAATGGCTTCAAGCTCCAAGAGGGGAGATTTAGACTGAACATGAGGAAAGAATTTTTCACAGAAAGAGCGGTCGGGCACTGGAATCGGCTGCCCGGGGAGGGGGCTGAGTGCCCATCCCTGGGTGTGTTTAAGAGCCGTTTAGATGTGGTGTTGGGGGATATGGTGTAGGGGAGAACTTTATAGAGTAGGGTAGGTGGTTGGACTCGATGATCCCAAGGGTCTCTGCCAACCTAGACAATTCTATGATTCTATATTCAGGTGTACGTAATGTGTCTTGAAGCGATGCGTGTTGCAGTAATTTAATTTTGAGATAACGGAAGTATGAATGAAGGAAATGAGAATCTATTTTGAAAGCGCTGCTTGCATCTCCATGGCCAGAAACAAATGGAATAGAGTCGTGTGGTATTAGCTACAATCTGATCTTCCAACAGTAATTGAGGCTTTAAGGTTTTTTAGCCTTTCATGTTACTCGGCGTGAAAGAAAAACAAGCAGCGATTGATTCATCCCTAATAAAACGGGAGTTGTGGATGTTCATTTGTTGTGTCCTTCTCGCTTACCCTTTTAAAAGTATAAAAACAGATGACTGCAGTTTTGGCATGGTAAATTATTGTAGAAGCAGTAAAGCATGGGGAAAAAGAAGGTAAAACGTGTGTCCTATCGACGCAAAGATGCTTTTCCCATTCATTTCAGGAGTGTCTTGTTCTTGGTTAATGTTTTTATGCAGCTAGTTTATTTTTCAAGGACACTTAAGCATGAAAATATAACTTTGTGCCTTTACGCGCACATACGCGTGACAGGAGATGGTG